ATACATACATACATACATACATACATACATACATACATACATACATACATAAAACCTTATCCTTCTTTGCAATTCCACATTTTGAAAAAGACAAAGTATTTACTGATTTAAAAAAGATAAAATAACTTCACTGCATAACAAAGTTTTCAAACTATTAAGTTTGAGAAGCATACATTATTAATCTTGCTTGCTTGAATATCAGTAATATTGAATATAATTAAATATCTAGTCATGTTATGCATGTCTTATGCATTTAGATGGAAATTTTATCAACTGAAGTGTTTTAAGGAAATGATTCCGTTGAGTAAACTGAATTAAAATAATTTGCATAGACTGGTATCATGGCTATCATCAATATCGGGTACAAGATCATCAATATCGGGTACAATATTTTTGCATATATTGAAAGAGCAAATCCTGGATGTTGGTTGGCATTAAATTATTCTTACTAAAATTTTGCTTTGAAGTTATTAATTAGACATCTTGAAATATATAAGTGTTTTGCATATTTTCTCTTATCAAGACATTTTGTTAATTCAGCCTCCTTCAGCTTAATTCTAGTCCCCTAATGTTGATATTAGTTGTACTGATAGGTACCATACATACCAGGTTGACTGTTCCAGTTATAAAGCTTAAGAAATTTTTGTACAAGCTTGAAAGTTAAATAAATGTGTGCCCTTAAGATCTGGGACAGACACTCTCACATCTATTTTTCTTTGCAAAAATTCATAATATTATGCATAGGTGTTTTATGCCTGAAATAGTCTGTGAGATAAGAGTAATGACTGATAGTTAGTTTGATGTCTAGGGATTTAAATCTACCACAACACTCAGGCTGTTGTAGCAGAAATGATTGCAGTAGATGAGGTCCCTATTCCTCAATATGCAAATAGCTCACTTTTCTTCCATTTAAAAAAAAAAAGCAAATTTTAGGACAAAATTATACAGGATTGGGTACTTTATAAAGTTCCATGTTTTGCTTGTGTGCTGGTTGTGACCTAATAGTTATGTCTATTAGATTATTACAGATGCATTATAATATAATTTTAGGGCATCTTAATACTGTTATTTGACAGGTGTTATATACTTGAAGAATATGATAACCCAGTATTGGCCTGACCGGGGAATTACTCCAGGGGATAACCCGCCTTACTCAATACCAGAAGAAGATAGACATTGTATTCGAGAGAATATTGTAGAAGCTATTATTCATTCTCCTGAACTGATCAGGTATATTTAAAGTTGTGGTCACAAAGTATTCTTGTTCCAAATTCATACTTAATTGGAGTATTTTCAGTCTTACTAGAAAGTATAATACTGATGCTATGCTCTTAAATTTATATTGGGATAGGGAAATTCATGGGCATTACATAGTGTAATTGACAGAAGATAATGCCTATTGTATTCTGTTGTATTAAATGCTGTCATTTAAGTGAACTCCTTGGTGTTCTCAAATCCTCACATTGTATTTACTTCTACTTCAAACATTAATCTGTTAATGTATAGAAACTCAAAATAGCAGTATTATTTGTAAAATATCTCATATGTTCCAGAGTACAGCTTACTACTTGCATTCATCACATTATCAAGCATGATTATCCTACTCGTTGGACTGCTGTTGTTGAGAAAATTGGATTTTATCTCCAGTCTGAAAATAGTGCCTGTTGGCTTGGAATACTCCTTTGTCTTTATCAACTTGTCAAGAACTATGAGTAAGTTATTATGTATTGTGTATATATATGGTGTGCCTTATTTGTAATTCACATTACTGTTTTCTAAACATTAGATTTGTATGACCTTCCAATCTGAATAAAACATGAAATTGAATTTATGATTGGATTTGACTTTAAACTAACCCCACACACAACAATTTTCCTTGTTTCAATTTAGGGTATCTTAATGGAAAATTGTTGTGTGGGGGGTTAGTTTAAAGTGCCCATTTCATTCCTTAAATCAGGGGTGTCACACTGGATTTCTTTGAGGGCCGGATCAGCATTGTATTCTCCATGGGCAGGGGCGGGGTGGGGCAGGACATGGGACGCATGCCTCCTGCAGCACCCTGTGGGCCAAAATGAGGCATGGGATGGTCATGTGCACCTACCCCAGTGCCCCATTTTCACCAGCAGAGGCACCTTTTTTATTTCCAGGCTGGCCCTGCGGGTTTAGATTTAAGTACTCCATAGCCTGAACCTTGAGTTTGAGTTAAATTGAAAACCATTAACAATTTTAAAAAATGAACCAAACTAGTGTTTGTGCCTACAGTGCAGTCTACAAAAGAGGCATTGGACAAACTGCATTTATGTGATTGTAGCGCATATAGTTTTCTTCTTATTCTTTGCTGTCAAAAAGAAAGGCATACAGCAAGAACATCTTTATTTATGATATCATGTATATCCAGAGAAATCAACAAGGTAGAGGTTTATGTTTCCTATGCAGTACTTTCTTTGGAAATAGGATAAAATTTATTCATTTTTAATCAGTGGTAGATCTAAAAAATTTTTTTTTTTCTAAAATCAGTTTTTAACTATTTTTCAAAGATACAAAAAACCAGAAGAGAGGACTCCATTGATAGCAGCAATGCAACACTTCTTGCCTGTCCTGAAAGATCGTTTCATCCAGCTCCTTTCTGATCCCTCAGATCAGTCTGTCCTTATCCAAAAACAGATCTTCAAAATATTTTATGCCCTTGTTCAGGTTTGTCCTTTTTACAGTTAAATTGTTTTAATCTTTACATACTGATTGGAACAATTTTATATCGCTGCTTAGCCAAGAAAGTGACTAATTTAAGAAATTAAATATTGAGTGGATTTTCTGAGGTGGTTTATATCTTTGCTTAATTTATATAATCATAGCTTGTTTTTGCTTTGCTCATAATTTTTCTCAACAGTATACATTACCCCTGGAGTTGATCAATCAGCAAAACCTAGCAGAATGGATAGAAATTTTGAAGACGGTTGTCGACAGAGATGTACCAGCTGTAAGTATTTTATACACGCTATGTGATTTATGTATATGACATTGTGAGTTGATTGACTTGAGTATACAAATAAATGATATACACAACTTTTATTTTTATCTGTAGACGTTGTAAACCTGTATGGAGAATGGGATTCTAGTTACATTTATAGATTTCTCTCACTTTCTTATAAGCATGTCTCTTGGACTGTAGAGCTCATGAAAATTCAAAAGTAAAAGTTGCAGGCCTCTTTGTTCCTTCTGTTTGTATCTTGTCATTCTTTTGTTGAATAAGAGAGTAAATATATTTATAATAAGGGGCGATCACCCTATGGCCCCAATCTCCCTTTTTTCAACTTCAAGGCTTCTTCCAATAGTTGAAAACTGACAGCAATTTTTCTCAAATTTTTGAGGTAGGAAATTTAACAATTGTAGTCTTAATATGATCCTAATTTTTTTAAAAAAAATGTCACAAGCTGCATCTATGGAGCTTATACAAATAAAATAAATTCTTATCCTGTAGAGATGCAAGACAAGATTTACCAATTTTGTGACATTTCTCTGTTGATTGTAACTACTATCTGTCCCCCAGAATTTTAAAGGTGATTCCTTCCCATCAAAAGATTATTCTTCCCAGTTTAATTAGTCTTTAAAGTAGGGCTGTCAAACTCGTGACCTGCGGGCCAGATGTGTCATGCGCTGGCCACACGAATGGGAAAAAAGATCACGATTTGTCACGTGACAATGCTGTAATGACATGAGTTTGACACCCCTGCTTTAAAGTAAAAGCACAGAAATGTAATATTACACTATCAATTAATACTATAAATTTTAACTTGGCTTCAAAAGGAAACTCTCCAGGTGGATGAAGATGATAGACCTGAATTGCCATGGTGGAAATGTAAGAAGTGGGCACTCCACATCTTAGCCAGACTTTTTGAAAGGTAACATTTTTCTCCTCAAGGTTAATTTTTAAATATTTTAAATGGGGTTTTTTTTTGTTACATGTGCATAATATATGACAGTGTTATCTTGGTTGTTTTTTTTAACTAATATTGCAATAGGTATGGAAGCCCTGGTAATGTTTCCAAGGAATACAATGAATTTGCTGAAGTTTTTTTAAAGGCATTTGCTGTTGGCATACAGCAGGTAGGATATTTTTTCTTTATAATTTGGATTTGATTGAGAATTAATTGATCCTTACTATCATTTTTTGTTTAAAAAATAAAAAAATAATTTGAATTATGTAGAAGATGCTTGAAATAAAATCGGTAGTCTCTGTTTCTATCTTTTTGCCAAATAGAATCTATTACTTCCTAGAAAACACAATTTATTTAGTCAAGGAGAGTAAACTGTCTTAGATGACAAAAGAAGCATTTTAATGTTGATATAATGAGTCAAATTCAAGTTCCCTGAGGCCGAATTCTTGGCATTCCAAGCAATTAGACTTTATACACTTTGCCATCTTTCCTTCTCTGTATGTATCACCTTGCATTAATAAAGCATTGCTTCATACTAAATAAGACAGTTCATTTATATACATACATACTTCACTCTATCTCATTTTGGGATAAGCTGTTGCACAGAAAAGAGTAAGAAATACTAAGTCAAAGAATGTGAAGGAATGAAATGAAAAAATATAGCTGAAATGTTTGGACTAGAAGACATGTTAAATGTTAGAATTCTTTATTGGCCAAGTGTGATTGGACACACAAGGAATTTGTCTTGGTGCAAATGCTCTCAGTATACATAAAAGAAAAGATACACTCGTCAAGAATCATAAGGTACAACACTTAATGATAGTCATAGGGTACAATAAGCAATCAAATCATATCACATGCAAAGTCCCTTCCAGCTCTATTCTGATTGAAATGTATTCACACCAATAACCATTCGTTATACTGTACTTTCTTCCATACATTTATATCTCTGTAAATCATCCTGATTTCCACCACATCCATGCAGCTTTTCATTCATTGCCCCAGGTTTTTCAAACTTGTCTTCCTTTCAGGATCTCATCTCCATCCAGTCATAGCCTTTTAAATTTTTTTCTTCCCTTTTAATTTGTTTACTTCGTGTTTGGTCACATTCATTCAGTCCTTGTTTATTCTGGACCCTGCCTCTTCTTTTTTATCACATACGTTTCTTGAGTCACCAAATCTTACTTCACTTAACTTGCTATTACGTTTTTCCTAGCATGTTTAATGTCCACTTATGTAGCATATAAATATGCAAGAGAATGCTGTTATATGTAGCTAGCTTCTTTTTCTTTTTTCTTTCTGCCACTTTTAGCAACACTCACGGTTTGCCACTGATCACATGGTTCATACTCATTCTATATTAGCTGTGTGGAAAGCTGCTATCTAACACATTTTTGTAAACAGCTTAAATCTTTAGCGGCAACTAATCAATCCATTTTCTTAGGTTTTGCTGAAAGTGTTATATCAATATAAAGAAAAGCAGTACATGGCTCCGAGAGTTCTACAGCAGACTCTGAACTATATCAATCAAGGGGTATCACATGCAGTTACTTGGAAAAATCTGAAACCTCATATTCAAGTAAGTTGTTTTTCCTGTTCTTTTGGAATGAATGCTGCATAGCTAAATGATAGATTATGATTTTTTCCCCTTGAAGCTTTGCTGTAGCAAAATTTGATTGGAATTTTAATGTGTTGATGAATTTTACATTTGGTTTTACCATTGATATTTCAAAATTTATTTGATATTGGAAGTCTCTCCCCCTTTTAAAAAAATTAGAGCAACTTATAAAAACAAATAATTTATATTTGCAGGGAATTATCCAAGATGTTATCTTCCCATTGATGTGCTATACAGATGCGGATGAAGAGCTGTGGCAGGAAGACCCTTATGAATATATACGTATGAAGTTTGGTAAGTGATTCAGAATTGAGTACATTTGCAGAGAGTTTTCACAGTTCAGCAGTAATAGGTTCGCAAATAACAATGTGTCTTAGTTAGCTTATTCGGTTTGTAGCTGCATGTCATAAATACATTCGGTCGTTTCAAACATTGTGGTTTTTAAAACATAGTTTATATTATACAGTATTGTGGTATAATTAGTAAACATCTTATCCCAGTTTTGCCAGTCAGGGCTTTACATAATATGTATATGAAACAGATCAAGATCCCAGTAAAATGCAAATGTCAGATACGTTAGAGAAATAATTCAAAGCCTATTTTCACTATTTAGATTTACTAGTAGTAGTTATGACATCTTACATGAAGCATGCAAGATGTAATGGGACAAGTACTGTATGACCTTTCTTCCATTAAAGTAAGGTTCTTCTGCTTTTACAAATTTCAGTTGGTAACAGTTCACTCTGTCCAGAGCCAATAGTAACTCCTCTTCCATGGCTTTTTGAGAAGTTTCTTATATTGAATTGTTATGGTTTTAATACAGAAAGCTACTTTGTGCCAGTCTGTGTTTCTGTTTTGCTTTACACTGCAAGCAGCTGCTGTCCAGGGTCCTTCCCACCATCTGATCCTTTTAGCTGGAGATGCTAAGCTACGGACCCTGGATCTTCTACATACAAAGTATAAATGCTGCCTCTGTCTCTCATCCATCTTTACTGAATCTCTGAATTTAAACTTTTCAACGTATAACTTCAGCAACCCAGTTATATGCAGGAGAATGCTACTGTACTCAGTGGAGTTACTGCGTGGAATTTTGCATAGAACAAAAGCCTTAGGTTTATAAAATGCTCCAGGGTCAGTTTTGCATTTCTTTTTTCCAGCTTAAGTTTGTTCTGTGCACTTAACTGACTTATGGGATTTTCTGAAATGATGTTGATTTGCCAGAGAACAAAATAATTTATGTTGCTTTCTCAGCATGGCCCAAGTTTTTGTTTTAGATAAAACTTTTTCACAAATCTCTGAAATTTCAGTCAGCATGGAATAATGAATATGTCCTAAGTGAATCTTAAACACATTTTAGATTACTTTGTTGTTGAAATAATATTAATATGCAATATGTTGAGTATTACACTATCTAAAATTATAGAAACATCACTAATTTTACAGCTTTGAGACATTTATATTCATAATTCTCCAAATATAAGTTTAAAAATGTTTAAAATGCTTTATGGAAGTTCAGAATGGAAATTTCTAGTGGTTGGTGATTACAGAATCCTTTAGATCTGATTTTGCTTTTTGTTTTGCTTTAATTCCTGAACATTTCAAAAGGCAAATAATGTAAATTGTTTCTTTTAATAGATGTCTTTGAAGATTTCATTTCCCCCACAACTGCTGCACAAACATTGTTGTTTACAGCATGTGGTAAAAGGAAAGAGGTATGTTCCATAAAGATTACCTTAAATAAAAAAAGAATTCTTTTTAAAATCTTGTATGTTGACCATTGAATACTTGGAAAGCTACTTATAGAAGGTTCTGAAGAAGTATCTCTTGTGGGCATCATGGACTTTTCCAGGTAGCACACAGTTACTTTCCATAGAAACAGTGTGTGACAAGCAAAGTTTCCAATCTGCATGCTCTGCACTATTTTAATTAGTTTATTGTTGGAAAATGGCACAAACTAATGGCATACTAGTGAAAGAATTCAATTTTGCTGACTGCCTCTCACCACCTCCTTAACATTGAAGTCCCAGATGATTCATGTAAGATGCAGTGGTTGTACCATGGCATTGTTATTGCTGTGTCAGGTTCTGACTCAAAGCATAACAGCCCCCAAAACTAGGAAAGACATGCCATGAATCTTCCAACTTGTTTTTTTTATTATTCCACATGTTTGGAGAAAATCTTGCCACCAGGCACGTATTCTGAGAACTATTAAGGAGGAACTGTGTCTCACTCAAACTATCTGGACTGAATTGTCCCTTACTCTTCTTGCCTCCTGAGAATCCAGTCCATTACATTCCATCATGGAGATGATGGGCTAGATCTGTGTTCAGTATTTTTATAGCTTTGAAAAGAATCAGAACGTTCTAAGGATTTTAGATTTTCTTGTTAATAATTAGCTCCTGCAATCAGTAGTATATCTTCTCACTTTAACTTAATGCCCCAAAGACAGTTTTAATCTTGATGTCTTTGTTACATCTAAGCAATTTTTATGCACAATATTTATAAAAATTTAAACATAGGCAGATAATATCTTAGGAGTTACTCAACTCAGAATATTGGTTGAACCTTTTGTTTGATTGATATACTTGTTTAATGAAATTTATCTGGGCATTTCTTTAACTCTCATATTAGGTCCTGCAAAAAACAATGGGCTTTTGTTACCAAATCCTCACAGAGCCAAATGCAGATCCTCGTAAAAAAGATGGAGCATTGCATATGATTGGTTCTTTGGCTGAAATACTTCTGAAAGTAAGTAGAATTTTGTTGATCCTTTAAATGTCTTAAGATTTTTCTGCCTTATTTTCACGACAGGTAGTCTTTGATTTACAACTGGTTGTTTAATGACTATTTGCAATCATGATGGCCTTAGAATATTTTTTTAGGGCCCATTTTTTTTACAGTTGGCAATGGCTACAGTAACTTCAGGCTGCTTAACCTTTATACACATATTAAGATTATGTGTTGGAATATACCCAACACATAATCTTAAGGTGTTTGTCTTCCTGAAACTGGTAGTGGAAGGCTTGTACTTAATTAAGCAACTACACTTCCCAAAGTTGTGGTCAATTGGGACATATTTTCTAATTCAAAGGAATTAATCTTAAGAAACAGACCTTGTAAAGTAGACATAAATTAATGGTGACAGAGTGCTAAATGCATGATATTATCTATACGGTATTTGTACCTTGCCTTCAATTTATCACTATTCTATAACAATAAATTATCTAGAATTATACCTCTTAAAATGTATCAGTTAATTTTGACTTTCAGATTCAGTAAGATTTCTGCTTGAAACAATTATTGCATGATTAGGTTTAGATAACTCAGCAATACATGAATCATTTACTCTGTCTTTGCTTTATTTCAATAATTTAGGTAAAAGTTTTTTATATGTGATTTACTGTTTTGGCCAGCATCAGTTTAATTTAGCAACTATTTAGCCCAGTTACTAACATTAACAGGATGGAAAAATCAAAATACCTTTTTGAGAAGAGAGTGATATATGTAAAAAAAGAGGCTGATCTACTTTTTGGAAAAATGTTTCAACAGAAAAAGATATACAAAGATCAGATGGAGTACATGTTGCAGAATCATGTGTTTCCTCTGTTCAGTAGTGAGCTGGGCTACATGAGAGCAAGGGTAAGTGCAAAGCTGGATCCAGACGTTTGGAAGTTTCTAGAATGTAAAAGAACACAAAGTTCCCTTAGTCTTACAAAAGTTGCAATGTGAAGTGATGGGAAATAGATGATTTTGATAAGCACTTTGGTAATGCATTTATTACATGTGCTTGTATTCTACCTTATTCAGGGAGCCTATATCATACCATAAAATACAATATGTAACATCTTGTAACTATAGTATATATACCCCTTTCCCCCAAACATTTGCCTTCAATTAAGTAGTGCTGTCTACTTTGAAGGTTCTCTGAAAAAAAAAAAATTCTTTCTCAGCTTTTCAGAATGTAAACGTGTTTGTGGGGTGTGTGTATATACAACTATATCCATTGAAAGTTGAATAGGGATTGTATGGCATGTCTTCCGTGCCAACACATAATGTGGGCAGATTTTATTTGGAGCAGATAGTCCTGCAACTATAAAGTATCAGGCTTGCTCAGTATTGCTATTACAGATAAGTCTTTAGATTATGACCCTAATTGAGACCGGAATTTCCCATCTCTAAGCAAAGTGGTTATTAAACAAAACACCACATGGCTACACTGCTTAGCAATGGCAGTTCTGGGGGTCCCAGTTGAAGTCATTAAATGATGCAACCATGACTTGTGGTCTCCTGTCAGCTTTCCCATTGGCTTTGTTTGTCAGGAGCTGCCAGGGAAGATTGAAAATAGCAATTCTATTTTCGGTGTCTCCACAGTTCCCACCCCAATACATCTCATTCCCAATTTGGTTCTTCCGAACCCCAAGCCTTGGTTCTTGCAGGGGATGATTTCAGGGGATCACTAAGCCATAAGATGCCAACTCATTTCTAACCTGCACAGCTGCCTCTGCTTCAACTTCTCCCCTCCCAATCTGTGCTTTTTTGGCTGCCCTGTAGAGCATGACTAAGAAGCTATTATTTTCTGCTGTCAACACCTGGGAGAAATTGAAGTGGAAACAATTGGCGTAGGGCAGGAGAATATGACCACAAATGTTGTGACAGTTGTAAATGTGGTCCAGTTACCAAGCACCCACATTTTGGTCAATGATCATTGGAATACTGCGATAGCCATATATATTGAGAATAACTCACTGATCAAAATGAGATGGTAAGTTTCCATGACTGGGATGGATTTGAACCTTCATCTCTCTTGACTTCCTTGAATATTACATCATGCTGGCTGACTATGGGATACCGTGGAACTAAAAATGGTTGTAAGTCCATTATTTCAGACAGTTACTGAATGAATGGTCCTAACAATTCTTGTAGACTATGTGTAGACAGCATTTAGTGATAGCTATAACTTCTAAATTAACATCAAAGACAGTCCAGTGTGGGATTGCATTGCAATAATCTAAGTGCAAGGTTACAAGGACATGACTTTAATCTTGATAAAGCCTCTTGGTCCAGAAGTCCAGTCAGAATTTTGAGTTCCATAAAATCCCATCATCAGCCACATGATGTCATACTTAAGGTATAGGTCCAGGGAAATGAAGACTCAAATCCATCCCAGTCATGGAAGTTTACCATTTATTTTGGTCAGCCAGTCACTCTCAATTTAGACTCATGACTGGAGTTAAATGGAGATACTGCTTTGGGCTTTTGAAAAAGGGTGATATATACTGTATATTTAAACCAACAAACACATAAATTAACAGTAGACTCATTCTTAAGTTGCAAGTGCTGTTTTCAAAGGAAATAGGCAAATATAGCGGTGGCATGCCTGTTCTGTCTCCAGTTAACATTGGTTTCCTGTTAAAATAATTTCATTAGCTTTAATAACATTTTTCTATAACAAGGTTCTGTAATCTGTACTTATATAGCAAATATTACAAAATATTTCAGAATATCTAATTTTGTCTCTTGTAACAATTGTAGAATAATATTTTGAGTATCAAAGAAAAATAGTTTTCTACATGGATTGTAGAATAAGATTTTCAGTATCAAGCAAGTTAGTATATAAGTTACACATTAAAACTTTTTTGCTGCTATAAAATCAGACTAATAATGGAATGTTATATAAAAAGTGAGACAGCTCTTAATGCACAATACTACCACAAAGTATATTGTTGAATTTTTTAAAGGGATATAAAGCTGATTGTGTAACCCTTTCCCTGCTAAAAAATAAATAAGTGGATTAAAATAGCTATAATTAGATAGCAGTATGGTACACTTGCATTCTGTATTATATCTCGTATACAATCTGCAGCCTAAGGATAAGTAGTGATTGTAATATTGATCTTGGCTGCCTAAAGACAAGTTTATCATTAACTAATCTACAGATTCTCAAAAATTACAGTGGAAAGGGAAATGGAAAAAGATCATCCAATGTGCTTGAAGCATTATATTTTCGCAGTTTTGACAGTTAATCCATGTAGAATAATATGCATGTTGGGCATTATTAAATGTGTTTAACTGCTTATCAACTTTTACCAGGCTTGCTGGGTTCTCCATTATTTCTGTGAAGTTAAATTTAAGAGTGACCAGAACCTTCAGACAGCATTGGAGTTAACAAGAAGATGCCTCATTGATGATAGGGAAATGCCTGTTAAAGTGGAAGCTGCCATTGCGCTGCAAGTTTTGATTAGTAATCAAGAGAGAGGTACATTTTCTTCTTTGTCAAAGAAGCTTAGAATCAGGAAATAAATGAAAAGCAAATATGAAATAATTTGTCAGCTCAAAATTTAATTGCATGCAGTTATTTAAGCAAGAAAAGAAAAATACCCAGACTTGTGATAAACCAGTATAGAAGGTATCAATTGTAATCAGCTATATTTATTTCTCTGATTGTTTTCTTATATAAATGCAAGTCACCACTTTACTTAAATTATTAAAAGAAAATTATACCCTTGTCTATTTGCTGTTGTTAGAAAGAAGCCAAATTCATACTTAGGTTATTTTCTCTCACTATGTACTCCAATGCACCGAAGACAAGTTCTTTATGTGTCCAATCATACTTGGCAAATAAAGAATCCTATCCTTTCCGTTCCTATTCCATTCTTATTCTATTATTTTCTCATTTTTTAGAAAAAGGACTGTATATTTCTATAAAATTATTTTCCTATTTGGATTTTTCTACAAATATTTCACGCAGTTTGCAAAATATAGAATCACATATTATAGACATCTTGGAAGGGCTACTCTTGTGGACACTCATACAAATGCAACAGAGCCTCTGATAGAATTTCCAGGGTCTGCTTGATTAGTTAGGCCTTTCTCCCGGTATCCTTTTTTAGAGAAGGGGGCGGGGGGAGAAATAATGAGTAATTGAAAAAAAGTAAGCATCTAATTTATTCTAGAGGTTTTAAAGTGAAATTATTGTGAAGACTAGCAGACCTAGTTGTTAACACGAAGGCTGTAACAGTAAAATCTTTTTATACAGGTAGTCCTCAACTTACAACATTTCATTTAGTGAATGTTCAAAGTTACAACGGCACTGAAAAAAGTGACTTATGACCATTTTTCACACTTATGATCCTCGCAGCATCCCCATGGTCATGTGATTTACATTCGGATGCTTGGTAACTGGTTCATATTTATGACACTTGCAGTGTCCCGGGGTCATGTGATCATCTTTTGTGACCCAGCAAGCAAAGTCAATGGAGAAGCCAGATTCACTTAACTAATTTAACAACTACAGTGATTCACATTACAACTGTGGCATGAAAAGTCGTAAAATGGGGCAAAACTCACTTTCTCACATAGCAACATAAAATTTGGCTCAATTGTTTTAAGTTGAGGACTACCTGTACATTGATAAGATACGTGTCAAAATGGATGCTGCATAGAATAAACAGCCATATCTGTTTCTGAATATTTTCAGTGCTGTTCCTAGTACTGTCTAATAACAAATTGCAAAACAAGGTAGTGTGATCTTTCTGAGTAATGCTGCTAAACTCAATGGGATAACTGCAAAAAGTATAACTTTATTTTATTTAGTAATTTTAGAAGGCCTCCCATCTCACACCAAATGACTTTGGGTGGTGGTATACATCCACTAAAACAATACAAATATTAAGCACTTATTAAAAACAGTCATATTAAAAATACAACCATCTGGTATTTTTAAACACGGTGCTAGAACCATTTTAAGATACCCCATTCTTGACAACGTTTGGTCTTGAAGGATTAACAGAACACTGAAAGGAATAGCGTAATCTTAACTTCAGAGTAAAGAATGCCCAGAAAGCAGGTGCCATAGCAGAGAAGTCTTTGTTTTCCTGCATAATATGAGAGGGAGTGTGATAGAATGGTCGTGCATGTGCAATAATGAACCTGAGCAGCTATAATATCTATGCAGTGATGAATTGGGGCTTCTGTTGCCATTGGAACAGAAAATGTATGGTGGATGGCTGTTGCATAGAGAGGAGCTACAAAAGCAAATGTGCTTCACCTACCCCCTACTCGGCTGGTGAACAAAGTACTAGAACTGCAGATCCTGCCACTGCCTCCATGGGGTTGCGGGTTGGAACTTACTCTGCTTAGCCCTGTTACACCTCCTTGCTCCAGCAAGAAACATAGCTTTTTGTCCAAAAAAAAAAAACAAGCTGAGGTGGAATAGCATTCTGCATCAGCATGCCATCATCACCAGGGCTGCTGCAATAGCTGCATTCATAAAACTACCAGTTTAGGGTCAGAAACACAACCCCAAAGCTGACAGATTCTAGCTTTCATTGTTTCATTGTGAGACCACCTCATTGCCAATTTAACAGTGGAATTCTAGATTAGACACAGGAAGTCCACTTTCTTGTCACTCTAAGGGATGAACAAGATGGTGTCCTGCTTTTAGCTGTTATATTCGTGTTGTATATGACTGAGGTGTATGCTGGAAGGATATGAGTTTGTGATCTCTTATTTAGTCTCTGTTGGAGCTGTTCGAATGCTGACCTTGAGGGCTGGAGCATCTTTACATCTAGGGAAGGGGAGAATTTTTAGAAAAACAGCTCCATGTGTGCAAACTGAGAAGGAAGAATGATCCAGGACTGTGGCACCTCTTTTCATATAAGGGAGAAATAAGCACAAATATTCAGGGAGAGGCATAGGGAAGCCCTGGAATTTTGCAGATTGTATACTAATAAAATACTTCATTCAAAATAAAGCCAGCCAGCAAAATTAATAATTGAAAGGGGTTTTTTCAGACCATATTTTTAAAAAACAAATAAAAATGCTTAAGTCATTCAGTTTTGTTAATGATTATAAAAAAGTAATGTTTATTCTTGCTTCCTTTGCAGCTAAAGAATATATAACGCCATTCATTAGACCTGTAATGCAGGCCCTTCTTCACATAATTAGAGAAACTGAGAATGATGATCTTACCAATGTAATTCAAAAAATGATCTGTGAATATAGTGAAGAAGTTACTCCTATAGCAGTTGAGATGACTCAGCACTTGGTAAGTCTGGGCCCAGTACATTTTTATTTTTTATTTATTTGTTAGATGTATTTGCTGCCCATCTCATCTATTTTAGTGCTTCCATTGGTTGTATTTCTCTCCAGACGTTTCCTAAATATTTGTGTACTTTGCTTATGTAGGATGTCAGCTAAAGTTTGACTGCTACCCAAGAATAATAGGTACATTTACACTCTGATAAACTTGTATTTATGGTTAAATGCAGCATATGTATCTAATAACAGGGAGTAATGAAACTATCAAGAAATACCCTTTTAAAATACTAAAAAATAAGACGTGAATCCATCTTTCTGCTTTCATTTGAGATCACCTACATTAGGAAAGGAGGATAGGTGCTTTGCTAATGACAGTGCTCTGTTGCAGTGGTCACCAACTGGTGGGCCGAGGCCCACTGGTGGTCCATGAGAAAATTTTGATGGGCTGCAGAGAAATGTTCCCCCAAAGCACCCCCCAAAGCAATTAAACCAGGCTGCACCCTGGATTATGACACGCCCACCCTCTGGCTCCCATCCTTCGGCTGAGCGCAAACCTGCAAAAAGCAGCGCAGTCCTTGCCGGCCAGGACGAGGTAATGGTGCTGTTTCAGCAAGAGGGGGGTAGTGGCACAGGCGGACTGAAACAGCTATGGAGATGGCCGGAAGGTGCAGGAGTGCTGCGCTACTTGCATTTACGCGGCACTCCCGCACCTTCCAGTTTGCCTCCTGGCCTGGACTCTTTCTCGATGGCCGCGGGTTGTAGGGATGGCCCAGGGCAGGAAAAGTACTGGCTGGTGGGAGGGGGGCAGAGTAGGCAAGTCTGCACTCACCATCCAGTTCAGAGATCTGGAATGGGGCGTCGGCGTCAGTTTCCTTGTCCCTTTTGGCGCTCTGCTCTGCTGCCCCGCAGCCCCAGCCATCACTGCCCGGTGAAAGCACAGGAAAAGCAAGCAGAAACAGCTCTCGCTGGGGTGAAAGAGCTCAGATCGAGGAAGGTACAGGCAAGAGAAGACGGAAGCTGACGCCTTTGAAAAGTGCCACTTTCTGTTGCCTGTGCCTTCTGATCTCCGCTCTTTTGCCCCAGCGAGAGCTATGTTTCTGCTCACTTTCTTTTCCTCGGGGGCGGGGGGGCAGCAGAGAGGTCAGGGCTGCTCTCCCCCCATAGCAAGCCAAGCCTGGAGGATTTGTGGGCAAGTGCTGGAGAAAGGTGTGTTGGAAATGTTTCCAGCGTGCTCTTCTCTGTCCCGAAGTCGGATTGAGTGGTGGGAAGGGAGGAGGGAAGGAGAAGCCCAGTTGGCTTTCCTTTGGCGGGGGCGGGGGGGTGAGACCAAGTGCACAGAGCAAAAGAGCCCCGAGGAAGGCAGGCTCCTAAAGTTTGTTTCTGCAGGCAAGAGCTTGAGCTTTTCTGGGCTCAACACCCCATCCCCCTTTGGCCTCCACACAGGGAGGGATGCTTCTCTGCTTGGAAACGGCAGGAGAAACCTGGAGCTTAGCCTCAGGGAGTCCTCTTCTTATGTGGAGGCTGAAGTGGGGGGGGGGGGTGTTGCCTGGTTATTAGGAGCCTGTCTTCATCAATGATTCCAGCCTGGCCCTCCTTCCCTCCCCCAACTCCAGGCAGCCACACCGGGCAAAGAAGGGAGAGGGAGATGGGGGGGGGGGGGGCTCTGCATTTCTTCCATTTGAGGGGGACCTGGTTCGTCCCTGTCCAGATCTTCCCAGCCTCCAGGCACCATTTGGCTTCTTAAATCTTCCCTCTCCCCCTCCCCCCAAAAGGATGAAAGAGGCCCCTCCTGCCCCACAGTTATGATTAAACATTTACGTTTTTTATAATTATATTTAATATAATTTATATTTAATATAAAAATTAAAAATTTTATATTAAATATATTATCTTTTTTAAAAAAATCATATTAGTGGTCCTCAGGATTTAAAAAAATAAGTTTGGTGGTCCCTGAGGTCGAAAGGTTGGCGACCGCTGCTCTGTTGAATGTCTTGTTTTGAATAGTTTGCAAAGACATGTTACTTTGATAACTCCTGATCAGCCACAAAACACAAAATCACACATCAACTTTTAAATCCTCTGAACCATTATAAAACAAAATCCAAATTCTCTTGATTATAGTTTGTCCCTCTCACACAGGCATGTTTATTTATTTACAATGTAAATATGCATACATTCATGGAAACATAGTCAGATTTCTTTACTCCCTGGTTCTTTACTATCTGTTTCTCAAACTGTATAACTTTTAGTTGAGATTTTTTGTGTGTTTTTAGGCAATGACTTTTAACCAGGTGATTCAGACAGGACCAGATGAAGAAGGCAGTGATGATAAAGCAGTAACAGCTATGGGTATCTTGAATACTATTGATACACTTCTTAGTGTAGTTGAAGATCACAAAGAGGTAAGTATTTTTGTAGTTATTTACAACTGTATTCCCTACCTTCCCATTTTAGTAGGATGCTCTTTGGTGGAAGGCAGCACTATTTTATTGGTCTGTGACAGGTTTTTGTTGGACCATTAAGCAGCCGTCTAAACTAATGAGACAAAAATTTGACTTGTGTATTTTTAAAAATACAATCCTGCGTCTATTAATGATGAAATAAACAGAATTAAAGTACTGGTATCATTTCCAATACAAGTAAAATTGCTACATGTACAGAACATTGATAAATAACATCTGGTGCAACGTGTGTGTATAGGGAGGTCTAATGTACGATGGCATTTTTTAGGCAGCTAATTAAAACTTGTCTATTTAACCACACTTCGTAATATGAATTTTGAAAGAAAATACTTTCCCCCTCTCCATTTGTTTTAATGAATATGTTTTGCTTTTTCTTAGAAAACACTAATGTGTACTACTAAAATATATTTCTTCATCTCTTTAAAATTTCAACTTACAAAGGAGCACAAACATAAATAAGTAATAAAACATTATTCATTGATTGAGAATTGATACAAATATCTATACAGTTTTGCTGGACCAGAACTGATTCATCTAGTATTCTTTTTTCCATGATAGCTTATCTGTTTCTAGGTATTTTCCAAGATAACTATAAAGGCTGTAGCCTTCCTCTGTTATATGCAATCACATCTGATATTCAAAGATATCTTACTTTTTAATTAACCATAGTTAACTCGTTAGCTAATTTATGAGGAACAGGATGCTGGATTAGATAGGCCTTTAGCCTAATCCATGTTTTTATGTAGGGGTTTTATTCATTCATTCATTCATTCATTATAATATATTGCTATACCATTGAGTGGACCAAACTCACTGCTACTTTTTGTAGAAATAAAATAATGCAGTGATGTGCTATTTATAAATACAAAGCTGCGTTAGATTGGGAGCATTAAGTCATAAAATACATAAGCTATACAAATTCCTTTTTAATTACTTATGTATTTGCCCACTTTGGATTGATCTTATGTTAGCTCCTTTTAGTTGGTTTAATTTTTTTTAATTTATTTGGAACTATTTGCGAACTGCCTTAACTTGGCTACATTATTTATGAAACTAAATAACATCTTCCTGGTGTTTTTTGAGGGGGAAGGTATTATATGCAATTTTATGAACTGCAAGAATTATCTATTAATTATTGCGTGAATACAGGTAGTCTTCCACTTACAAACTGTCATCTTAAAACCATTCAAATTTATCAGAGATTCAAGAAAAATTGCTTACAATCCATCCTTGAAGTTAGGACAGCTGTAACCCACATGGTCACATGATTACAGTTTGGGCACTTTGCAACCTGTTCTCACATTTGTCCAGTTAGCAAGCCTCCTGTGCTTGTATGATTGCCATTTGCAATCTTCTCTGTTAGCTTCCCTAAAAAGTTAATGCAGAAGCCAGCAAAGATGGTTGCAAGCTACTATCTTCTTGTAAGGTTTTCCCTTATCCTCCATGAAGGGAGGAACTGGTGTGTGTGGGGGGGGGGGGTCTGAAGAAAAGAAGCTTGTATCCTGAAGTTCCGAGATCTTTTCAGCCTTTCTGCCCTTCAGAAGCATCGCGTTTATTTGCCTTCCAGCCAGTAAGCTAGCAAATATGGCATTTCTGAATAGTAGAAAGGAATTATCCAGCCTTCCTTGCCTTCAGAAACATTTCAACAGCTGGCACTCTTTTCGTGATTGTTCTAAAGGCTATAGAAAGAGCCAGTTTTCTATGGCATGTAAACATAGCATTTGCTAGCTTTCTGGCTGGAAACTTAAAATAACTTCTCCATGTTTCTTAATGAAAAATGGAGGGGAAGTTTCAGAATAAAATAGCTTTTAAAATAATAATAGATTTATTAAGTTTTGACATCATACTTTAAAATACAAGCTAACAAACTAAAACAAAAGAAAATGACAAAACAAAGTGAGAAAAACACATCAAATATAACTAAAGTAACTTTCTATTAGTTTAATTTACATTGAAAATTCAACCACCTCTCTCCGTTTAAAGAAATAACACCAATCTATAAAATATCTTAAATTATAGCCTTCATTCTAAAAATCAATATTGATTAAATATTTTTAATTTCATCCAAAAAAACCCTAAGATATCAAATGTAGATAATTTTTTATTTTAAAAATTGCAATTATTTCTCTAGTTAATGCTAATCTGATCTTCAAAATACAAAGTCAAAAGCTGATGCGTTTCTTCATCCTGCTAAAAATTCTTAGCAATGGCTTCCAGGTCACATTAAATTTAATAGAATTATTATCTGAGCAAAGCATTTTGTCATCTCAGCTAGGTCCATTAATCCATTTCGATTGTGCGCATACTTTCCAACTTTAGGCATATAACAACCTTGCTGCCATAGCCATATATAAAAAGGTCCCATTTTTTTCCACCTGCATATCAGCTATCCCAGAAAGAAAAGTTTCAGGCTTCAATGTTACACCCATTTTCTAGAATAAGATAGCTTCTGACTAATTATGTACCTGGATTGGAAGAAAAAAAATAAAAACAGAAAGATAAAGCAAATTTAAAACGTTGTTCTGAAAAGATGCAAAAAATATAGGTATCATGTAAGGAAGAGGAAAAGAATGAATATGGGTCATGGGGTTGGGTCACATATTGTTTGAATTTCAAAATTGGTTTTTCCATTTTAAAGTATGCAGTCTTATACATATGTTGTATTCTGTTTCAGATTACTCAGCAGTTAGAAGGTATCTGTTTACAAGTAATTGGAACAGTTTTACAACAGCATGTTTTAGGTAATCCTTTTAGTTGTATTAAATAACATAAACACATTAAGCAGTCTACTACTAATTTGATCAAAGTCACATTTAATGATACTTTGATCTTTTCCAGAGTTCTATGAGGAAATCTTCTCCTTGGCTCACAGTCTGACCTGTCAGCAGGTCTCTGCACAGATGTGGCAGCTTCTGCCTCTGGTCTTTGAGGTATTTCAGCAGGATGGTTTTGATTACTTTACAGGTGAATATGTTATGCCTTGTGGAGATCATGTTACAAAGGGGAAATGAAATGACATAAACTGAAATGAAACTGTTTTTATTTTTATGAATATTAAGAGGTGGGAACATATATAACATTTGTAGCGTTATTCTTTTTAAATACAGATATGATGCCACTGCTGCACAATTATGTGACTGTTGATACAGACACGCTCCTGTCTGATACAAAATACCTAGAAATGATCTACAGTATGTGTAAAAAGGTAGGTAACCCATTGTATCTTTGTCAGAATAATATTGTGTCCCTTTTTAAATCTAGGAAAAAAGAAATGTGAATATTATGGGTGCTATGATTTTAATTCATATTCCAGAGTAGAGTTAAATGGCTGCAGTCAAATGTGCATAGTATATTATCTATGTCTAGTGATAAAGTTTATTTGCGTTCTGCACATAGACTACATTGCTCACATACAGTCTGCAGCCAAAGAGCAACATGAGATCATAGTACTGGTCTAATGATGTTGAAAGACAAGTTTACCGTTGACCAGCCTCCAAATTCTCAAACATAAGGGTGCAAAATGAGGTAGAATTTTGAAATATCTTTGTTACTATTTTGTTAACTGCTGCATGAATGATAATTCCAGGCATCTGTCAATAACCCAAGCAGAGCTAAATGTTAAGAATCCTTTGGAAAGTTGGGCTTCTAAAAATCTGGCGGACAAGTCCTTTCCTTTAAACAAGAATGAATCTGAGTTCTCACATACATATTGGCTTTCATTTCTTTTGGTGATCGTTGTTATTAAAATGAATAGCCTCTCTGTTTTGATTGGAGATTTCTTGCACAGAATGTGTTTCTCTACAGGAGAAATTTCAGTCTGCAGCCAAATTCCCGAATGGTAGATTCGTTCAGTTTTCCCTTCCCCACCCTCCGCTTTATTATATATAGTACAGGTAGCTCTCTACCTATGACCATAATGGAACTTGCCTATTATGGTTGCAAGTGAAATGGCCTCACTTAATGGCTTCTACCCTGTTCTCCCTGATACAAGTGTTAGACATACATATGGATCATTAAGTGGAGCATGGGGTATCCCGGGGGAAGGTCTAATGCAAGCCCAGACCCATCTACCCAATACCTTCCAAAGTCTCTGCTACCCCCACCCTCTGAGACATTTTGAATTCCACTTCCCACACCTAGGTTCCCCACAGCCCTTGGGCCTGCTTCCTCCCCGTCCCCTCAGGCCTTCCCCCTGATCAGGTCAAGTAGGGCTTAGATCTCTTCCCAATCCTCCATCACCTATTGCATACTTACTTTTTGATGGTCTCTGGAGCTTTCCTCAGCACTGCACAGACCACTTTATAGAAGCAAAATGAAGTGGTTTGTTGCTGGACTGCATGGCAGCCTCCTGGAAACAGTCACCATTTTGGCATGACCATGAGGATTATGGACAAACTGAAAATGGCTGCTGCTTTCAGGAGGCTGCTACATGGCCCAGGGATGAACCACTCAATTCTGCTTCCCTAACACTGCATGCATAGTACTGTGCAAACTTCCGCATTGCACAGATTCTTCAGCATTGCACAGATCACTTTACAGATCTGTGGCACTCTCTATTAAGTGTATAAAACTGGCAAATCACATTCATATCTTTTACTGGTTTGTATTTGTGGAGTCTTAACTGGAATTTGGTTTTGAAAATGTGAAATAATATTCCATTTTTTAAAATACTTTTTTTCATATAGATATGTAAAATATTTAATCATTCCTATATATTGATGAAACCTAGAGATGACAACATTTTTATATAGCTGAATTTATTTATAGAAATTGATAATATTGAGTATCAAAATTCACAGTTCATGTATTTCCTAGGTCCTTACAGGTGTAGCAGGAGAAGATGCAGAATGTCATGCAGCAAAACTATTAGAAGTTATCATTTTGCAATGTAAAGGCCGTGGAATTGATCAGGTAAGTTAAATAATGTGTCTTCAGTTTGGAGGTTTCTGTTTTATTTCTGCTCATTTGAAAAGAAAACATCACATTTTCAATATAAATAAAAAAGGAAAGAGTTTTTAAAAGCTTGTTCCATCAAGAAAGAATACAAAAGCTGAAACATTCATTATCATGGGGATAATGGGTATTTGAATTTTTAAAAACCCTACAAGGTAACATTTTTTTCATATAATTTTATTGATTTTCAAAAGAATTACAAAATTAAAAGATAAACAAGAAAAAGCTCAGGAAAAGAAAAGCGGGGAGAAGGGGAAAAGGATTAAAAAATCTGACTTTCTTTGGTACAAATATAGATTAAAGGAATATTTGAAACTGTTATTCCAAGGTTAACACTTGTCTACATTACTTCCATAGTCTCATATAATTCTAATCATCGAATCCTAAAATCAACTTTTCATTTCTTTCCGTTTCTCGCAAAAAGTCCAAAAGTGGTATCCAAGTAGAACTAACATTTGTCTTAAGTCTTTTCTTTGATCAAAGCAATTTATCAGTTGTTATGTACCAACAATTACTGATTTTATAAACATTCTCTTTAAAATTATGATTGTAATAATTATAAAATTATTATGATTCATTGTAAATTTCAACTCTTTCTTCCAGATACTTGCCCATTAGTTCAACTGTATATTATATCCTTTTTTGCCTGTTTTATCATACAGGTAGTCTCCAACTTACAGCTACAATTGGGTCCAAATTTTCTGTTGCTAAGTGAGACAGTTGTTAAGTAAATTTTGCTCCATTTTATGCTGTTGCCACAGTTACTAAGTGAATCACTACAGTTGTTAAGTCACTAATACAGATCTTAAGTGAATCTAGTTTCTCATTGATGTTGTCAATCAGAATTGAGCTGGAAGGGACCTTGGAGGTCTTCTAGTATCTAGTTCAACTCCCTACTCAGACAGGAGACCCTATAGTACCATTTTAGACCAGTATCTGTCCAATCTGTTCATAAAAACCTTAAAAATTTTGCTTGTCAGAAAGTTGCAAAAGGGGTTCATATAATCACATGCAGGACACTGCAACCTTCATAAATATGAACCAGTTGCCAAGTGGCTGAATTTTGATCACATGACCATGGAGATGGTTATGAGTATGAAAAACTGTCATAAATCATTTTTTCAGTGCCATTCTAACTTCAAACAGTCAGTAAATGAACTTCTTAAGTTGAGGACTGTACAATCCTGTCCTCTGTTTTTATTTTCAGTAAAAGTTTATCTTAGCAATAATATTATTTATACAGAATTATACATCAAATTCAGTACTGTCCTTTTCAAATTCATAATTATTCTTATCCAACTCCCAAATATTTAACTTTTTTCTCAATTTTAAAACCAGCTTTCTTCATCAAAACACTTTGATCTTGTGCAGTCATATTTTTAACCAACTTCTTCGTTTTCTATTTACTAATTTTAAAGCCTTCTATCACATCAAAATCTTTTCAGTTTTTTTCATCAAATTCAGTTCTTCTCGGAGGCTCCTGTAAAATGAAAGCTCAATTATTAGCAAAAGCTCTCAATTTAAACATCTGGTTTTAATTTGGGCCCATTATCTTCTTATCCTGTCTAATATTTATATACCTACAAAGACACTTCCTCAATGTCCTCCTGCACTTTCTCCTGCAATGAATTGTTGATCATTGCTAGGAACAAATTCCTTATCACCTCTTCAGCAGTCAAGTAAGAGGGGCAACAAGTGGAGAACTATTATCACAAATAATTCTGGCAACTTCTTCCAGGTGTATAGACTTAAAGGTCTTTCAAATGATCCCACATCCTCTGTCACCTCCTCAGACTTTGGCCATTTCATTTCCATCTCAAAAGGAACACGAGTAATTCAACAGAACGGTCATTGCTGCTGGATAGCATTTTTAAACTCAAATTTTCTCTTTATCATATTCAGCTGTGGGAAGTATTCTATCAGCAATTGTGCTAGGTCTCCAATTGGTGCCCATTGAATTGTAGAATTGACTACTTTTAATCATGTTTTAATTCTGTTATTTGAGTTATTTTTATTATTTTCTGAACTATTTAAATCATGCTGGTCACTTTAATCATCTTACTTGGACAAAAAGATGGGATATAAATCAAATTAATATCATCATTAACATCCCTTACTTGCTCTGTGGCATGTACAGATAGTCCCCAGCTTTGATAAAAATTGAGCCCAAAATTTCTGTTGCTAAGTAAGACAATTGTTAATTGAGTATGCCCCATTTTACCACCTTTCTTGACACAGTTGTTAAATCAATCACTACACTTGTTAAGTTAGTAACAGTTGTTAAGTGAATCTGGCTTCCCCATTGACTTTGCTAGTCAAAAGGTGATCACATGACCCCTGGACATAGCAATAATCATAAATATGTTGCCAAATGTCTGAATTTTGATCACGTGACCATGGGAATGTAGCATATGTGGCGCAGTGTTTAGAGTGCAGCACTGCAAGCTATTTCTGCTACAGTCAGTTGCCTGCAATTTGGGAGATCAAATCTCACCAGGCTCAAGGTTGATGCAGCCTTCCATCCTTCCAATGTAGGTAAAATGAGGACCCAAATTGTTGAGGGCAATATGCTGACTCTAAACCGCTTAGAGGGGGCTGTAAAACACTATAAAGCGATATATAAGTCTTATTGCTATTGCTATATGTGAAAAATGGTCATAAGTCATATTTAGTGCCATAACTTTGAACAGTCATTCAACTTGTAAGTTTAGGACTATCTGTATTATCTCTGCTAATCCTAAAAAATATTTGAGGGGAGATAGAGAAAGAACAGATTTGAATAAGTGTAGAAGTGTCTTCTACTTTACTAGAGAGTTTAAAAGTAAAGAATTTAATACATGCATTGCAAGATACGGATATTGAAAATCAAATGTTTATCACTACTGCAATGTGTTAATAGTTGCCTCTGACTTTAGTAAAAAAAATTCTCTGTCTCTTTAGTGTATACCCTTGTTTGTGGAAGCTGCTTTAGAACGATTAACTAGAGAAGTTAAAACAAGCGAATTACGGACAATGTGCCTCCAGGTTGCCATAGCTGCTCTCTATTACAATCCTCATCTACTTCTGAATACCTTGGAAAATCTTCGCTTCCCCAATAACGTGGAGCCTGTTACAAATCACTTCATTACACAGTGGCTTAATGATGTAGACTGTTTCCTGGGGTAAGCTTGTTGTCTCTTGGATTATGACTTAAATTCATTAAATTCTAATGTAGAGAGAAGGGATTATATAGCTACAACAGCTGCCTCTTTTCCGGCTAGCTTCTTCAGATAATGTGGGCTAGATCTACATGAAAAAACATAACACGGTCTGTTGGGCATACACATTGATCTCTTCAGCCATGCCCTTTCTGAATATCTCAGATGGAATCTGTGGTATCTTTCCTAAAACCAAAAGTAATGAGACATTTTCTTTCTTATTGCAGACTGCATGACAGAAAAATGTGTGTGCTAGGCCTGTGTGCATTGATTGATTTGGAGCACGTACCACAGGTTTTAAATCAGGTTTCGGGTCAGATCTTGCCAGCTTTCATCCTTTTATTTAATGGGTTAAAAAGAGCATATGCTTGCCATGCTGAACATGAAAATGACAGTGATGATGATGATGAAGCAGAGGAAGATGAAGAAGCAGGTAATGCAATCATCTTTCCTGTAGAGCTAATCTGCAACATTACTGATGTAGCTGTAGAAAGTTTTTCAGGAAATTTTTGGTGTGTCTTGTGTTTTTTTTTCCTGTGTTTGTTTCATCTTTGCCTTTTAAATGGACTGGAATATTTATGTACATCTCATTTTTCACACAGTACTTTATTTTCTGTGTTTTGTTTGGGTCTCTTACTGTAGGTATGAATAATTAGTCTTTACCAGGTCTAAGAATATGCAAAAACTACCACTACTAGAATTTTTCTGGAGTGTTTCATTTTCTTCTCTGGACAGAAATGACTTGGCTGTTCATGGAATTACTGTTTGGGGGAAATTAATTTTTCAGATTAGAAGTACCGCATGTTTCAGTTTGGAAGATTAATTTCAGAAAATCAGAATGGAGTAGTGGTGGTGGGAAAATAAATTTGGAAATTTAGTGTGGTCCAGGAAATGCATATTTCATCTTTTGGAACTATTTGTCCCCAGAATATAGGCATTGCCTAGTAATATTTATTGTGCTGTTCAATCTGTTCCAATATTTTTTGTTTTTGAAAATAAAGCGAGGCAGACTTATATTTTGAATCATTGGCCTAATTCATTTAATCTTTTGTTGTTATATCAAGTTTGCAATTATCATTTGGTAGCTGGGTAATATAGTATCATATGATTAAATTTATGTTCTATTCCTAACCTAATGTATTAAAGACCATAGGATTAAACAATATGGAATTTTATGTAATACAAATAATGTAATAATTAAAGGGGAAGACTCTAGGTGAAATTTTTGGGCACTCTTAAAACCCTTTGTTTGGTTACAGAAGAACTTGGAAGTGATGAAGATGATATTGATGAAGATGGTCAAGAGTATTTAGAGATTTTGGCAAAACAGGCTGGAGAAGATGGAGATGATGAAGATTGGGAAGATGATGATGCTGAAGAGACAGCACTGGAGGGATATTCAACTATTATTGACGATGAAGATAACCCTGTTGATGAATATCAAATATTTAAAGCAATTTTTCAGAGTAAGAGCTGCCATAGTTTTCATTTCAAATCTGTATTCCTGTGTCTGCTGAAATGTGTATTATCAATATGTTGTACTTATAAGAAATATGGGAACTCAAGATATGCGTGTAATTTGAAAAGCTCAGAGGAGATATTCAAGGAATTTGAAAAGCTACAGCCTAAGCATTCAGAAAATCTGAAATGAGTCAGGTTTGATGGAAGTCAATAGTTTGGCAGAATTATTAATAGATACATCACTTTTTATTGGAAACATTATTCTATTAGACATAAATATTTAGGTTATCTTGGCTAGAGCAAATGTTTTTATTACTATAGCAAATTGTTCTTACAGTGTCGGATTACTGGTTGTGTTTTCCTATGGAAATAGCTAGGCAGAAAAGTATAAATGACTTTGGAAGGAAAGAAAAACCTTGGATTTTTCAACTTTGGTAAGAACAACTTTAGCAATTGAGGGAAGTAAGATATGCATACATGTAAGAATAGAAACAAGTAGAAAAGATGTAGAAAAACTAATTTTCTTCTCAGCAAAATTAAATAACGGTTAACTCTTACCTAATATTTCTCTATTTTGCTTGAAATTCTTTCTGACATGTCTGCCTTATCAAAGGATAAAAAGAGAGAAAATAATTTCAAGTGATGATATACATTGTATTATTTCTAGTCAACAATTGTAGATGTATTCCACCTAACAACTATTAAATAGATTTTGATCCTACTCTGTAATAAAGTCAAATTTCAGTTGCACATCAATATGCAGATCAAACTAATTTCATAATAAATTGAAAAAGGGAAAAGGATACTTTAAAACAGGGGTCGCCAACCTTTTGGACCTCAGGGACCACCAAACTGATAATTTTAGATCCCAGGGACCACTAACTGGTTCTGTAGGCGTGGCCTAATTTGTGGGTGTGGCTTGGTGGTCATGTGACTGGCTGGGCATGGCTTGTATGTAAATATTATAAATATTGATATAAATATTGATATTTTTTTTATTAAAAAAGCAACTTTTACCCAAAATCAGGCAAAGCAGGCAGACAGATTGAGTTGTTCACAGATTCATTCAGATACCTATCTGCCATCAGCTAGCTCAGTCTGTCACATAAAATTTGCTCATAAAAGTTCACTCATAAAAGTTTGCTGGATAAGGAGTGAGTGGGTGGGGAGGGTTCCCGCGGGCCATGTGGGCAGTGGAGCCTTGTGTTTCTGCGCAGCCTGGATTAATTGCTTTGGGGGAGTGCTCTGGGGGTGAGATTTCTCTGCGGCCCAAAATTTTCTCGCAGCCCACTGGTTGGCAACCACTCGCTTAAAACATGTATAAAACAAGTTTTATTGGATTGATGCATTTAATTATACATTCTTTTCCATAGGGTTAAAGACTCTATAATTAATATTATTTATTTTATTTATAAACCTCTCAGTAAAAATAATCCCAGAGCAGGATACTTAATTATAACAGCAAAAGCAAAATTAGTACACTAGCAAGAAAGCACACACTAGCAAGAAAGCAAAGAACAGAAGATCTACCAACAGTAATCACGAGGCATCTAAAAATAGTAAATTAAAATTGATTTGCATAGAACTTTCCAAATGCTTACAGATCTATATATTTGCAGCACTTCAGAATCGTAACCCAGTATGGTATCAAGCATTGACACGTGGTCTTAATGAAGATCAAAGAAAACAATTACAGGACATAGCAACTTTAGCAGATCAACGAAGAGCTGCTCATGGTATGCATTTTAATTGAATTTTACATGGCTATATTAACTAGTATTTTTCCAAGGGATATGTTTCACCCTGAAAGAGCTTCATCTTATTTCCTCTTTAAATTAGGAAAATCATGGTCACCAAAGTTGGACCCATGAAGAATGAGAGCTAACTTTAACTCTTCTACTAGAAGTTTGGTTTAGACTTTTCCCCCCTCCTATGAAGGAATCCACTCTTTAATTTTAACTCTGCATCTTTAAGATGGGTGACTTTTTTCCTCAGCTCCATATTAGAGCTGACAAGAAAAAGAAAAGAACAATCACATGTCCTTTGCAGGTGGCCTTCAGAACAAGCAGTGCAGAAGGGTCAAAGAATCCTTTTTAGAAGGACTTTGCAAAACCAACGTAAGCCTAGTAAAGTTACTCAGAGAGGCTTGGTCAGCGATCAGCTCCTTACGTCCCTGTATAAGAAGCCACTAAGTGCCAGAGAAAGATATTCAAACTGTAGAACAGCAACAAGATAATACCCAAGAAAAAAGTTTCAGTGAATACTGGAGAGAATGAAAGTCACTGGTCCTCAAACTCCTATGCAAGAAAGTTGAGGCTATAGGAAGAAGAAGCATCAACTGATCATAGGAAGCAGCAAAAGACTTTGGTTCTTTGAGCACTAGTGCCATTAAAAAGCCGTCTTCAGCAGCCACAGCTGTTGTGGATTGATATGCCACGTAGAATCATGGTTTACTGTCACAAGGAAATAAGCATAGGAATTTTTCAGGGAAGATTATGTACCCTATCTTACAAATCAAACTGAAGGCAGATGCGTTTCTAGAAGCAATTCCGGGGTAAAGAAGAGGTTACAAAGTGAGCACTGTACTAGACTTCAGGTGCCACTCGCTGTGGCAGTTCTCTATCTAGCAGCCTTTTCCAGAACTAGACCTGGTGAGTTATAAGTTTAGTAATCCTTATGTAGCCTGAGGAAGTTGTAGTTAGCATCATTAGCAGTGATTTACTGACAGTCAACAGGATCCGCTGACTGACAAGAAAGTAGGCACAGCAAGTTCCAAGCCTTAAGGCTACGTTGAGGAGATGAATCTGACATGCGCTCTGTCCATTGCTAAAATGGCAACAGCAAATTGATAAGTGCTATCTGGTATGACATGTTGGAGAAGAGGGGGAGGATTCATTTTTATTCTGGTACAGCAGGAAACATACAAGATACAAAATTCATTCCAATAGACATCCTAGAACCTTTAGAAAAAGCATGGCCCTGTTCAGCCTGAATTATGCAGATCATGAGAGTAAACTCTTATCTTACTATCCCACCAAAACAAAATGGATCAGAAATACACATATATAGTACTAACCAGCTTATGGAGAACCAGTCATCTGTACTGGATAGAACCTTGTTAGCTGCATTTGGCCATTCTGCTGTTAGCTGCATTTGGCCATTCTGCTGTTTTTGTGTACTCAGCAAAACCCTGTGTCTTGCAAGGAATATTGCAAAATCACAGGACATCTGAGGCCTGGTACCTGTGGGATCCTGGCTGAGAAGACCAGCCTTTAGAGAATGATCTATGCATCCTAGACAATCACCCCATAACCTATTTAATGCTGTCTTATTTCTGTAATATATAACCTAAGACATTCAAGTAGAAGCTGCCTGTCCAGTAACTGCTGGCATAAAGGGATGGGTTGTAACTTGTTTGTAAAAGTTATAATTGGTTGCAGAAAGTTCCAGGTGCAATTGTAAGTAGTTCTAGTTTACAAAATAATGTATGAGATTTCTCAATGAGACCCTGGAGAGTTGCTACCTGGCAAAGTAGATATTGATATCCATACCATTCTTCAAGAAGTCATTCTTACAATCCAAGAGTTTGTGGGTCTCTCCTTAGCTACATTCAGTTTCCAACAAAGACCTCTTTGAAGTACTTGCCGGTTAAGTGCTAAACTTCCAGGTTTTGCATTGTTTCTGAACTATGAGATTTCTAGCAGGTGGATCAGGAGATTGCTGCAGTACTTTGCACTTTGGGATTTATCTTCTTGACGGGAACAGTTTCCCAAATCCGTTATCCTTATCATGTACCGCTTCCTCAGAGATGTACTCCTCCTTTAATTACCAGTTATATATCACTTTCTGTCACAGGACTTGCCCTTCAAGGCCAAACAAGGGTTCCTGTTGGACCCACCAGACATATCCCATTAACACCTGCATTTTTTAAATAAACTCTTTGGTAGCCAATAGCCATGGCTAGACTGGGGACACTAAAGCTATCAGTGAAAGGCAGACTAGTGCTAAATTAGATACATGTTGCACACTCAAATTCAATTCAAACTCCATCCACACAAACTACCACCAAATTAAATCTCGACTCTTGTGCTAGAGAATGAATCTGTCTCAAATTAGATGTGTACTGTGTGCTAAAATATTTCTCGAGTGCTTTCTAATAGACTATTGTCTTTGAAAACACAATGAAATACTGTATCAGACAGGTCAAGGTGCATATTGCTGTGGAATTCGCAGTCAGCACTCTTGTCATCACAGCTCCCTCTGTCAGAGGGTCAGCCATATTTGCAGCTCAAATTGTGTAAAGATTTTCAACACTGTGGTTTGCAACAAAATAAATTGATGGGATTAAAATCTTCATTCTCATTTATAGAAATGTTTGAAGACATTTCTCTTAAAAACTTTGTGGACATAGAAAACAGCTTAAAATCTATTTTTTTATCAATTTTTTGGGAGGAATGTTTGTTTTAATCAAATTTCTGTATTGTTCATCATACTTGTGTGACTCATATTTTAATTTTGCATTTTCTTTTAAATCAGGGCACTTTTTTTGAACCAGCCAGATTCAATACGATGAGTGATAATTTTAAGTTTTTACTTGTTTCTCTTTAAGGCTGGAAAAGTATATATACATTACTCATTCTTCTGCTTGTTATTTTAGTGCACTTATCTTGTTTTTTTTAAATATGCAGTTGTAAAAAGCTGATTGAGATCTCTTTAGGTATTTTTAATATTAGAACTTGTTGATTGTGAAGAACGTATCTTGCAGAAACAATGTGTGACACTAAAGAATTTTATCTTCTCTCTTCTAGAATCTAAAATGATTGAAAAACATGGTGGATATAAATTCAATGCTCCAGTTGTGCCAAGTTCATTTAATTTTGGTGGTCCAGCCCCAGGAATGAATTGAATTATCACTACTTTTCCTCCTACTGTGTGATTGTAGTGAAGAGCTTGTGTTCCTCCCAATATAGTGGTTCCAGAACTGGTTCATGTTATCTACAGCTCACGCTAAATGAATTGGTAGATTGAATATTTAAAAAGAAAAAACCCAGAAGTGGGACTTGATCATGCAACCTAATACTGGAAAGAAGGTTTTATGAAGATAGGAAGAACCTGAAACTTGAGCTTCAAATGACACACTGTGGATATTGAAAATCAAGAGGGGATGTCTTGAAGGCAGCTTCCTTTCTATGAAGAAAATAGGCATTGGCTGCAGGACTGTTGGAAAGGTCTCATTTACAGTACACAAGCTTGAAGGCCAATTTAATTTTTACAACTGTGGGACTGAGTATTTGCCCAATTTTCTTATCCTCCCCCCCCCCCCATGGGTATCTATTCTTTTAATGTACATAAAGGCAATTGGATGGCCTTACTTAACATTTCATTATTTCCATTTATCAAGATTGTTCATATGTAGAATATCGGACACTTATTGTAGCACTACATAACTGATAAAATCTGTAAATGATTTAGCACTTTCATATTGAAACAAGCCTGCTAGCCTATGTACAAAATTAGCAAAATGTTTGTTTATAAAAAAAAGGGATGTTCTGGGGAAAATTTCAGGTTATTAATTTAAAACTAGCAGTTTTGTACCTGGTGAACTGTGGTGCAGCTACCACTGGTTGTGACTTGAATTTGATATGTAAAGAAGGGGCTAGTGGTATTTCATTGCTGCTAAAAAAGAAAAAAATGGCAACGTTCTGTGTCCTTTGTTTTTTTTTTTCTTAAAGCTGTCATTGTACAAATGGAAAATTGAAAATAGAACTCTTCATGTTTAAATGCTGAGTGGAAATTCATTTTCTCAGCAATATGAAAACTGACATGAAGTTCTGCTTTTCCAGGAGTGTATTTTGATGCGTGGTGAAACATTTACATAGGCAATCTTAAAATCTAATCTGGCTAACTTGGGCTGGAGTTAATTAAAGTTGTATTCCCATATATAGGAATATGGTCAGAATTCATTACATTTCAAGGATCTCCTCTCATCTATGTCCCTTCCCACTTTAGGATGCCCAAAATCCAGGATTTTTTGCCTGATCTATTTAGAACAGTTTATGTAGTTGTCTAATTAATTGAGAATTAAATAAATCTTGTCAATAATGCAGCCTCTTCATGCAGTGTTTAAACTGTTTTAACCATAGATTTCAATTTGAAGATAAGATCTTTTGATTATCAGTTTGGAAAAAGTCAGAATCCTCACTTAATTTGAAATTTAAGGTGTTGTCATAATATAAGCCCTTGACCTGAAATAGGGATCTGTGGTCAGAGACTTCTAGCCATGAAATGGCTGCACCTCAGAAAGTCTCATATTTTGAGTTACGAAACTTAGATATGGTCATCTAGACATGGTCTCAGGGTTACCAAGTCCCATCTTTGAAGCAACAGTTTTATCAATGTCAGGTGATATAATAGCTAGCATTTTAGCTACACTCTAGAAGACTTCTTCCTGCTGGGACCACTATTGAAGAGTGACTTGGTGAAGAAGGGAACATCAAATAATGTGACTGGGCTGGCTTAGTGCCCCATCTACAAAATAAATACATAGATAAAATCATAGATGCTGAGTTTCTGATCTTGCAATAAGATCATTGGTGTCAAATCTTTTAAGCAAAATGTTTATTTCTCCTGGCTGTTTTTATATTAATGGTCATCTGCTGTTATAACTGGTATTGAACAAGCTACCTTAATTTAAATGTAAGCCTCCAAAACTTTAAAGACAGGTGAAATGATCTGAATTTATATATATAAAAATAAAAATGAAATGAAACATATATATTATGATATTCAAAAATGCAATCTTCAGAAAACCAATTTGTGTGATGAGTATTTGTTTTCTATGTATTAGTGGGGGCAGACTGCTTGGAGTGTTAATTTTCTAGTGGACTATCTACCTCTTGTCTCAAGCTTGATACAAGTGCCCTTGTACTGTTTTTGACTGAGTACAGGTTCCGTTAAAGAGTTCTCTAATTCTATAGCTAGTGGCTAGAGGAGCATTTTCCATACGGTTTTGGGTAATTTAGTGAGTTCTTGTGAGTTATATTTATATGCTGTTTTATTGCATTGGACAGACTTCCTTTTTTTTTCCAGGTATTAAATATGTCTTACTACAGTTGTAGATTTTTCTTAGTTCAGGCAAGATTAAAATACCCAGATAGGACAGTGTGGGTTCTCAGAAAAATATTTTGAGCCTAATCTTAAAAATGAACACTAGAAACATTAATTTATAAATATTTTAAATAATGGATTGAATTTTTAATGTAAATTTTATATTAAAAATGAACAATTGTTCAATACTAGTTGCACCAGAACTTCTTATGTAAAACTTATAAATCACCATATCTAAATCATTTTAAATCGGGAAGTTTTACTTCAGCAAAAGTAAATCCTTATTTTTTTGCTGGCCTATCTGTATGTTTATTCCATTAGCATTACATAAGTATCTAATGCTTTTACAGTGATTTATAATCAAAACCCCTTTGAAGCACTCGCTGGGCAAGCAGTAAACTTTCAGATCTCTCCTAAAATGCTATGCCATTTTCAGTAACAATTACTGTATAAACTGAATTTTACAAATGATTATATACTATGATACATCACAATTGAATTTCCTTTCCGGATGTTATTTAATAAAGGCTAAAATGAATGAAGTTTATTCTTCACGACAACATGTACTTATGTTAGAGTACATAAATGCTATCTGAAAGGATACAATTCAGAAAGAAGCTTCCAGCTTTTATTCTTTGTGATAAAAAGTGCTACATGCAGATGTTACAGAACTTGGCAATTCATATAACTAATTTAGAATATCATAATTTATGAACTTCAATACCTTCCCCAAGTGATATTTTTACTACACATACATTTTTATGTGTACACATTATACACATGAGGACTAATTTGATTATATTATTGCCCTATTTTAATTCATTAATTATAACAGTTAAGTACTACCATTTTAGCCGATGGCTTTTTTAGGATATGCTGTACCCCAGGTGCAAGATACACTTATTGTGGAAGAGATAATATCAAGAACAACTAAAACTAAATCCCAGGTTGTCTTATCTGGAGCATGGGCAGTCACATTTTTATATTCTTTTTGGGAGCAGGGGTTATTTTAAATTCCGCCATCTTTCAGATAAAATACCCATATATTCTTAAGATCTTTGTTGATATATTTATGACTCCAAATTAAAGCAATCAGTTCTAAAAGGCCACAAAGAAAAGAAAAAAGAAAAAACCCTTTAAGATGCAAGAAGCTACAATAACGAGACACAAATGTGGAAGATTCTGTGGTAGTTTAATTACTATTTTTAGTGTAGCATTTTATCCAATATATTTGCAGAAATTTCTGAACTAGCTGATAGTATCCTATGCTTTGCATGGAGTTGCTATGCAGTTAGCATGGGAAAAATTAATAATGCTAACAAAAAAGCTTTCTCCATGATGCAGTAATACAAGATAGAATAGTAAATAAGAGTTGCAATTTTTTGTCATGACTTAGTAATTCTCACATTAATAGCTCTTAGGTACAACCTACATTTCTACATTTTATAATACAGTACTTTTCTATTGGATGCATACCACTTATTTTTGGTTAGTGCTCTTCAGTGTATTTGTGAACAGTACAATAATTTGTACTGGCATCTGAAACTGAACAGTTCTCTTTCAATTAAAATAGCTGCAGTGCTTACTATGAAGCAATGTTTTTGGAAACCAAGGAATAAATACAGATATAAGATTGTCAGCATTGTTTTTGCAAGCTACTCCAGGAATGTCAACTTGTGAACCCATCAAAAATGTAACTAGACTGACAGGTGGCTAATGATATTTTTAGGAGCATATGTTTTACTAATCAAACAAAAAACCCAACTTCCAATCAGATTTGATTGCTTAACTTTAGAAGCGCCCAACATGTTTGTCACCTAATTGGGCTCATTTTAGTACTATCTATGTAGGAAAAAGGTATTTCTGGTATTAGGACAGTTAAAAGATCACAAAATTTCATGTGTTGAAAATCTGCAAATTACAAATTAAGCAGGGTTGCAAAAAGAGATGGTTTTACAGTATTGATTACAGTATTGAATTCAACTTGTTTTCTTCTGAGCTTTTAATCAAATGCACAATGTAAAAAGAGCCTTGATAATGAAAAAAGGCACTCCATCCAGCAATGCCTACCATTAAACCAGGTAATCTAATTTGGAGGGTTGCAGCTTTTTCACCCATCTCTTGAGGATCACAGGCATTCCACTTCAAAATCACATCGGTTCTCCCTACCCGCTCTATCTGTGACCATCTGTGAAATATCCGGAGATCCTTGTGCATTTGTGTATTTTTTGTGACCTTTCTCATCTTAATAGTGACAAAAATAATGAGAAAACATGCTATCTGCTCAGAGTTAGCTATAATTCTGGATTGGAAATCAGAATGAGTGCATTTGGAGATTTATTCAACCAGCCAATTAATTTAATCTATTTCACTTCTTCCTGAGGTAGAAGCCTTAACATTCCAGTTGTAATTACTAAACTACTTAAAGAAACTTTTGTCGAAAGTAGTTCTGAGATAGTTTAGATTTAGAACTATCACAACCCACTTATTTAAGATTTGATTCAGAGTCTGGGACTGGTAAAAACTTTTAACCAAGGACTTGAGAGATGTTAAGGTAACGTCTGAGTTTATAGACAATTCCGAATGCAGTGATTTTTATATCATAAACTTTTATTCATTAAACATGAAACTCAAGTCAACCGAACATTTAAATGTATCACAAATATCATTGACTGGCTCCGATGGTCGATACGGGTTGCTGCCAGCATCCTAGGTATCTACTACTACTACTACTACTATTATTTATTAATTATTGTTTTAACCATGTTAAGCTGGCAGACATAAGCTAAAGTGATTTCCTCTAGCGAAACCTTTCGCCGCGGTGATGAGAGAGAAAGCCTTCCCACCCAAGAAAATAAGCTTGAGCAGGAGTTGACTAAGTCCCAAGGCAACTACTAGCAAGACTGGTCATTCCCAAAACAACAAAAGCACTCCACGAAGACGGAACTCCCTTTTCACCTTCCATTCTCTCAAGCCCTTCTAATCACAAAGCTCAGTTCAATTCAAATAGCTTGCTTCAAAAAATAGCTCTAAGATTCCCCTCATGGGGAAAGACTCGGGGGGGGGGGGGGGGAGGCTAAAATGGCGCCAGTCCCTTTTTCCCTCACTGACGCATTACAGCCTCGCCCGACGTGATATAAAATGGTTGCTGCGATGGCCCCGAACTCAGCATAGTCAAGTATCCTGTAGGGTGGAGGCGGTCCCACGGGCCGATTACCAATAGATGGTGCCATCTAAAGCTAAAACGCCCAATGGCGATTTAAGGGCGGTGTTTGGAATGGCCAAGTGGCCAATGAGAACCTAAGCAACTGCTGGTGGCAGGGCCTCCCCGCGCGGCTCTGGGCGGTGCTGGGATAGGCGGGCGGGCGCTGAGACGGCCGTTTCCTGTCCTGGTGCATGGTGGTCGGACGAAGGAATTGTTGGAAAATTTCTCAGCGAGGTTCGTATATAAATGTGTTTTTACCCAGTGTGCCTTATTCTAACCGCCGCCATCTCCGACTGGGATGCTTCACTCTCTGGCCTAATCCCTTTGCGGCGATGTTCCACAGAGGGAAATGTGTGAGAAAACGGGGAGTCGCCCTGGTATCGCGGCTCATATTAATAATAAAGCCGAGGCGTTGCCGCCGCCCGCCCGTTCCCTCTCTCCCCCCCCCCCTTTCATATTCCCGCCTTCTCGATTTCCCTGGCTCCAGGTCTTTTCTCCTGCGATGTATTTGTTTCGGGGGATGGTGGGGGGGGGGGCGAGTGTCGCCGCGTAAAATACCCTCTCGGGGTCTTCGGGCTGCAGGCGAAGCGGCATCGGGCGACATATTATCCGAATGACTTCCAGGGGAGTGTGCTTGAGGAAGCTTTCTCTTTCGAGGCTGCGTCACTGGAAAAAAGGTTCATATTGTATCTAGCCCTTGCGAGCCATGAAAGAAAAAGGTGGTCTTGAGGCATTGTTTTGTTCTCCGACATCGATCCCGAGCCGAAGGAACCTCGAAACGTCACCATCGCCCCTTGCTCCCTGGTGAATTCACCCATGCCGCGCTTTAAACAAACCAAAAAAAAGCACCGGAACCATTTTTGACAAAACCTCGTAGATGAGCGAGCGGCTATCTGAAGCTGCGGGTTCCGAAAGGGAGTTTACAAATCAACGTGTGCTACAATCTTGCGTGTCTTCAGTCGATCTGTCGTCTGAACACCTTACCCGTTATTTAAGGACGTGCACGACAACGTTTTTTTTCCTTCTGATTACAATAACGCAAATATGACGGATGGAAGAAGCTCTGCGTACATGCTTCTCAAGAGGCCCATTTCTGATGAGGGTTTTTTTTTAGGTATAGGAAAGGAAGTTTTCTTGTGGGTCCTACTATATATTTTTTTAATTCACTTTTAATTGTACAAACCCCTAAAATGATAAGATTCCTGCTTCTATGTCACACCATATGCCCACCAACCAATAAACGCTAGATTTGGTTGGTGTGTGGTGGTTGGAATGCAAGTCTAATATCTACATCAGAACTGGTTCACTGATTTAATTCCTTTCAGAGATTTTAGGATTGTGGACTGTTTGTCTCCTTGACACTTTATTTTTTTTTAAATAAGATCTTAGTGCTACAAATATTTTAGTTTCACAGAAAAATACATGAGTTGAAAGTAATTGCACTTATTCATGAAACAAAATCATTTCACATTTTTGACATGCTTTTAAAAACTCAATATCTTACTGACTTTCTACATTTAATATAGTATTTTTGCCATCTTTTAGTAAATCACATTTCCAGGTCTTCCATGAAACATGCATAGACTTAGGTATCAACTCAATAGATATTTATGAAGTATACATGTACCATATCAGGAAAATACATTTTTCCATTAATGTTAGAACAATTTGCAAATCTTATTTA